AAATGGGATGTAGTGCTGCTCTTCAAAAAGCTCTGCTTCAATTTCCAGGTACACACAGAAGGGCATTTTTTCCTGTTTCCTTTTGATTTTTTCCCCAGACTAATACTTAACTGTTTTGCAGACATTTTAAAATTGGAAATAATAACAGTTCTTGTTATAATCAGTCAGTGACTTTTGAGATTATCTATCTGGGCCCAGTGTACTGGAATATACAAATGCTTCTTGAAACAATGCTTCACATCCCAAGGTCACACACCACACCTTGCTCATTTGTACTCTTTCCAAACCACCATATACTTAAGGGACAACTCATAAGCCTCCTAGTTGGAGTCTGTTACTGCTTTGTGGTTGTGTTATGAGGTACAAACATGTTAAAAAGGTTTTGTGCAAACTAAACCAAACAGTGGTCTGTTCTATGCTGCCATCTAGTTAGCATGCTCTGTAAAACAAAGGGTTAATTGGGCTTCCATTAACTAACAGCATTTGTGCTCTGCAGGCTTGATGTCAAAGAACAGGGTATTCCAGAGTTCTACACAGAGAAATTTATTTCCTTCCATGGGTTTGAAAAAAAGAGTATTTTACGCTCAGTTTTGTGTGCAGGAAAGTGTGTGAGAGGTCCTGTCCCCGAGCTGCTGGACTATCTTATGATTTTCCACTAAACTTGGCCTCTGCTTGAGAAGTCCCAGAAGGGGCAACGGTAGCTTGGTTATGTCCCAGAATTGTTTGGTAATTACTTTGTGTTGGCACTTGAATAAAAGAGTTAAACATTTCAGCACAGTGTGTTGCTTAGTTTTTTTTTCTTCTTATGAATTAAGGGAAACAAAGTTATTCAATATTAGTCACAAGGAGGCAATGCAAATTCCACATAATATGCAATCCAACAAAAGCATTATAAAATGTTATTATTCTCAAAACAAATGTGAGAGCAAGCAAATGTCTGTGGGTGGCTTGGTGGGGCTGGGAGTTATGGAAGCTTCTGGAAAAACAACTACAAGTGCATTTCTAACAGATGATGGGTTAATCTACAATTTTCCCCCCACTGAAGAGTACATTCTTCTCCTTAGGAGCACACATACTTTGGAAACCAGGCTCCCTAATCAAAGAGCTTATGTCTGAAGAGGACTCTAAATGACCCCTCTGGATCCATTTTTCATGGTGACCCAAAAAGTTGCTGGCTTTGTTTTTTGTTCCCAAGATAATCACTCACTTAAGTATGAATGATTCAATAGGGGAAAAAATTAAATGGTACTGGCATGGAGGACTACTTACTGCCTCAGCTTTTTAAAAACAGTGCCACATCATGCCAAAAGAGGTTAAGCCATGTAACCACCTTGTCCTAATATAATAAGGACTTATGTTTTCTCTGGCGCTAATCAGGACTAGTAAGCAGAGCCAAATCACACTATAGCTCACAAACTAACAGCAATGTGTTTACCACAACATCTTTGGGAGTTCCGTCTACTTGTAAGCCAAGAATGTACATCTCAGATGAACTCCATAGCAATTGTTATTTCATAACTACCAAAGATGGAAGCAATCTGAGCAAATATACTACCTAACACCTTCCTGTAGACATGAAAGAACTAACAATCAGTGAGGACAAGAAATATAATGTACACAGATGATTAAAGGCAGAATCAAGGTTAAATATAATAGTAAACAATCACTTTTGAGGAATCTATTTTGGTTCATTTACAAAACAAACATTTGCTTTGTAGATCACTCTTTTGTTTGGAAAGAAACAATCCTTTTTAATGTTTTAAAATGATGCTTTTTCTAGGATATCATTGTTACTTAATAAGTATAAAATCATCTAGTCTGTTGCCTAAGGAAAGTTCACTGTCCTCTGCTAGTCAGCAGAATGGAGGGTCCTTGTCTTTTTGTCCTGGGTTAATTGTAACTATAATACAAAATGAAACCAGAAGGAGAACAGGAAGGAGGGCAGTTTATTCAACACAAAGTCTGGGATATTTTCTCCTGTCCTAATACATAGCATCACCTGCTCTTTTCTTGTTCACTGAGCGAGCCCTCTCATGCTGTCAAGGCAGTTGAGAAAGGTGGACAAAGCCTTGATTACTTTCTTTTCTTAAGTCTAATCAACAAGAATCTCAATACTCACAGAAATGTAAAACTAGTGATTTAGATTGTGTAATTATATATGTATTTGTATGAACAGTTGATCAGTATCTGTCTTTTCTCCTTAGCCATGTCCTAACAGAGGTGGCTAAGAAACTCAAATGATTATAAATACCAATGAACAGGAGTATATCTGTCACCAAGGTATGGTGATCCCTCACCAGGTCACTTGAGCACATATTACCCATACAAATTTTGTGTCCTTAAGGATTCCATACTAAAAGAAACCACTGGGGTTGGAGATTAACAGTCTGTGTTCGAACATCTCTTAAGAGTATTTTGACATAAACTAACATTTAAGATATCTTTTTTCTCTAAACCCATGCTGATTTCTCATCATAGAATTTACAATGACCTGGTGAGAAAATGGGTCACTGAAGTACAACTTTTATGATTTAGAAGTTGGGAAGGTATGTGTTGGTATAGATAGCTTGAATGCATGTTATTTGTATTTGACTGTCCTTTTTTGTGAAAGTAAATATGTGCTTCTTATGAACAAGTAATTTGAGAGGACTTTGTCACAAGAGGACATTGTTCAGATTGCTAAGGTAACAAAGATAACCTCACACAGACCTGGTACTCAATCCCTGGGGAAGCAACCCATAAGGACTACACCTCTGCTAGTTCACATCGATTAGGACCTGGGTAGAGAGCTCAGCTGTAACTTCCTGTAGCTCCCCACAGACACTTAAAAATAATGCATTTGGTTCTAACTTACTGCTTTTTAAGCAGTCACACCCACCAGGGCTGCAACCCAACTTCTTCTGTTGGAGCAAGTAAGTTAACTCCAGAAGGCAGATTTTCTCCCTGCCTTTGATTCCATTAGAAGGTCCAGAAGCAATAACTAGGAAGTCTTTTAGGCTAGAAGGATTCCTTCTTTTTCAACCAGCCAAGGGTCCTGCACACTCCCCCCCCCATATAATTGTGTGCTTTTCTTTTCTTTTCTTTTCTTGCTGGGTTTTTTTTTTTTGCTTGTTTGTTTGTTTTTGTTTCACAGAATTGAAGTTTTCAAAATAGTATAGTATGAGATAGAAAGCTTGGAATGCTTACAAGAAGGTTTAATAATTAGTATATTGATACATTCATATAAAGAAGCAGCTTGTTTAAAAAAAGATTAAAGAACTCGAGGAAGAACATGTATTGTACAAGAATATTTGGTAAAGAAGCAGCCCAGGAGAGTCCTGGTGTAGACCTACCATGTCTAAGTGGACTGAATTTCTTTCAAATAATCTGGTTGTTTTTTTTTTTCTCACTATTCTTTTAGTTAAATGAATTGGGAGGAGAAGACAAGGTCACGAAAATATTAAGAGCTTTCTGTTTGTGGTGAATATGTATTCATCTCATTGGTTAATAACAAAAGCTTTTTGACCAATAGCCAGGCAGAGTTAGGCAGAGCCATCAAAGTAAGAACTCAGATGTCAGCCATCCACCAAATAATCAGGTCGTACTGAATAATATAAAAACCCTTGAGCCACATGGAAACACACAGATTAATAGAAATAGGTTAATTTACATGTAAGAGTTAGTTAGTAATAAGCCTGAACAATAGGCCAAATAGTTGGTAATTAATTCTCAGCTTCTGAGTGATTATTTACAAGAACTGTAGGACTGAGAAGAACAGAGAAACCGCTGTTTATAATTATTTTCCCTTTGAGTCTACATACTCTATGTAGAAGCAAATGTCTCCCAGAAAAAGCACTGACTTTGTTTACTGAGATTTCTAAAACTCCATTTTGAGCATTTCCAAAAATCACTGGAGACAGCTTATGTTACATTCTTATGTGTATAAAAGTGAATGCGTTTAAAAATGCTTTTAGAATTACATTTAGATCAAAAAATATAACATCAAAGAATAAATAAACTCATCTAGGCAATCATTTCTTCACTTAAATAAGCATCATGATATGATTTATAAGGGGAGGGACCATCTATGTACATTATTGAGACGTTTTGAGAGGACAGTTGTTCTGAGTCTACATGAAGAGTGAATCCACACCAGCCAGGGTGGTGCTCACCTCCAATCCAGGCAATTAGGAGACAGTGTGAATTAGCTTCCTTTCTGCTGCTGTGGTAATATACTCCCCTGCTATGCAGGGGAGCATAGCAGCTATCAGAGAAAGCATGGCAGCTGAATGGTCACAGTGTCATTCATATACAGGAAGCAGAGGGGGAGAACAGAAAATGAGACAGCTGTAAACCCTGAAAGCCTTCCCCTAGTGATGGACTTCCTCCAGCAAGGCTCCACCTATAAAGTGTGATGAAACATCCTCAAATAGCACCACCAACTGGGGATCAAGTGTTCAAATCTATGAGGCTATGAGGAGCAGTGCTCAAACACTGAGGCAAGAGGATCAACATTTTGTGGCTAGACCAAGTCTCAAAAAACAAAACAAAAAATCCCAAACCAAACCAACCAAACAAGCAAACACATAAAAAACAAGCAAGCAAACAAACAAACAAACAAAAAAGACCCAATCCCCTGACCTCAGCTTTCACTTGTGTTCTCTGTTAATTTTGGGGGTTATTTGTCATGAGGATGTCCACTGCTTATTTATGGAGGCTGGGACAAATTTTACCTCTTTTTGTCAACTTTTCAGTTGTGGCATTTCATTCTGTGGTTTGTATCAAAGCAGGCTGGGTTGTATAACTCTAATTTGTGTGGTTTGAAACAATACAGTTATATATTTGAGGGATTGAAAAGGAAGGTTGAGCAGAAAAGCATGGTTATAATACTTGAAAACGTTAAGGTCAGTGGGAACCATACTACATTCCATTCATTCCTACATTCTGATTCTTCTTATAAGCACTCTTCAGACAATAAATCCAAGGAACACCACTACCAGACAATGCTCTCAAGTCTATGATCACCCTTTGCTAATGTCCCTGGAAAGAAGCCAGCTGCTACAGGGCACAGCAAAGACCTGCATGCAGAAAACATATAAATAACAATGCTTAGGCTGACAAAAGACCAAGAAGTTGCCAAGCAGGAAAACATCTTCAGCAGATTCAAAGGTGAGTCAGTTCAGTTCAGATGAATAAAAGCATTGGTTCATTAAGATCAGCCTACAAAATCATATCTGTTCTTTCTCTTACTTCATGTGCTCCATAAGGGATATTTGCAGGACCAATTTGGCTCCCAAATTACATTATCCAAAACCATGAAATCTTTAAAGATAACTCTAAAATTACCCAAAGGATTATTTTGCCAAATAATATGGATGCCAATGGCAAAAGATGAATAATAGTCCTTTACTCAAGAAAGGAGGGATAAATCCAGCCTGTCTCCCTTCACCTTGGATGTGTTAGGAGAAGGACCCATTTAATTGATAGTAAAAATCTTTTTGTTGCTGTTTTGTTTTTATTGTTGTTGTTTGTTTTTGAGACAGGGTTTCTTGTGTAGTCCTGGCTGTCCTGGAACTTGTTCTGTAGTCCAGGCTGGCCTCAAACTCACAGAGATCTGCCTGACTCTGCCTCCTAAATGCTGAGATTAAAGGTGTGTGCCAGCACTGCCTGACTCTAGAAACTTTTAATATGAAAAATGTTTGATAATTCCATCATAGGTATACCAGTAAGCCTGTCATGCCAACACTGTCCACATTGAGGTGCTCAGTCACAACCTCAATTGCTAATGAACTATCAGACATTACTAATGCTTTATGTTTCTATATCACAGTATATATTGTTCACCTCGTTAAGCTTTCAAATGAGCAAACAATGAATAACTTTGCATTTTCATAGGGAAGGGAAGGATCAGACAAACATAGTCAACATCATCTGGCCAAGGGAGTATTCTATCGGCTTCAGAATATCTCTCTATGCATCTAAATTTTTACGCATATTTATCTCTCTGGATTATTATTATTGCTGTTATTTTTTTTTAATTCATGTCTTTCCTCTGTTTCTTTCCATAGTAAGGATTCAAGGTTCTAACACTAAGCTTTGTTTCCAGTTGTCTTTACACTATCTCGGTGAAGAACTAATATGTAGACCCTAAGGTTAGGGTAACTTTTAATAGGTAAATGCCAACCAATTGTAAGGCATGTTTTCAACTAAATTGTCCTGCCTGACTTTGAATTCACTCAATAACCAAAGAAATACTAAAATTTGTGGAATCTCCTTCCTCAGGCCCTGTATTAGGTAAGGTCTAACTACAGATTTACTTAACTAACTTGAATTTGAGTGGTATTTTGTGTGTGTGTGTGTGTGTGTGTGTGTGTGTGTGTGTGTGGCTAAAAAATAATGTACTATTGTAAGTTTTCAAAGACATGATAGGTATCAATACCAACAATACATAAATTATAAATGACTAACATAATCAACACTGAAAAAACATTATCTTACAACTTATGTGTCACACAAACATCTAGGAACAATTTCCATGTAAAGTGAAGCTCCTAACATTGTTTCTTATTCAGGCTGGAGATAAAGTCAGTGGTGAGGAGTAAGTTCTGTTCTTAAACAGCCCCAGGCTTGGTTCCCAACAGGTGGCTAACAGTAACCTATAACTCCAGTTCTAGAAGATCCAATGCTTTCTGGCATTTTCTGGCATCTGCATACCCAGGGTATGTATGTATTCATGCAGGCATGGCCATCCACATGAATAAAATAAATAATAATAACAATAATAAATCTTAAAACAATTGCTATTTTATTAAGTATAGTGATTTTGATATGCTCTCAATAGATCAGTGTTCTCAGACCATAGTTATAATCAAATGCTATTTATCTCACCAGACCCCAATCCCAGAAAATGAGAACTATGATGAATTCCCTTCATTGATCTACAGAGAAGCAGAACCACACAAATCCAACATGCTAAAATGCTCATATGTAAAAACAGGAATGCTATTTATCCTGTGAAACTTGTCCTTCCAGTGTCTGGCACATGTCTAGAATACAATGTAAACAAAAAAGCCAACAAAACAAAATTTCTTACTCATGAAATGCTAAAATAAATCAAGAAAATAAATAGAAACTATTTTTCTTTGAAAAACATTTCAAGCTCAAATATAAAATGCTACTGGGTTTTAGACAAAATTGGAAATTTAGAATAAATCAAATGAAGAGCCAGGAGGTGGTGGCACATTCCTTTAGACTAAATCAAATGTGAGTTAGTCATTTATTCCAGATTTGTAAATTTTATGTGAACCTTTCTGAATTGTTATCATTTTTAACCTCCAAAAGCGTAAAGAAACAAGCTTTATAGACAGGCATGGGGCTTACCAGCAACCTAAAACCATGAGCCTAAATGAATATTGGTAAAAATAAAAATATTCAAACCTATCACAAAATTCTAAAGGTATTAATTACTCACTTCAATTAAAAAGGAGAGACTGCTTCCAGTGAGAACTGTCAATCTTTAAAACCAACTCATTTCAACTAGGCAGAACTGGTAGCGACCTGAGGTCCTACTATGCCTCCAGCCCATAGACAACTGGAAGTTCTGAGCCACTTGTATCTGACACATCATCAATCAGTGTTTGCTCTGCATGGTTAACATTTTTCTGCTACCACTCAAATGAATACTAGACTCTTTACTTGATTTATTTAGGTAAGTAGAAGAGTGTGGCCAATTCAGGATTACCTCACATTTATTTAGCAGCCCAGTTTCTTGTAGCCGTGACCAGATGCTCTGTATCCGCCCAGCGTGCTCAGGGTGGGTGGTGGAATTGCCACAGATACACTGGTGTTTCAGCATCAGAGGGTCATAGGCAATTCCTTTGAAACAAAGAAAACACAAGCAAAGGTTGAGTAATACAAGGATTGCTATGCATTACAAGGTAAAATAATTAGTCAGAAGCAGTTCCCAAGACCATGTGCCAGCTATTTAGCCTTGTATGTCTGAAAATGTATGCAAAAACATCTACCCATGTATTAACCAGTATTCAAGTCTTAGTTCAATAAAAATGTAGAGCGATATATAAATATGTATATATGCTTACATATATTAGCATACACAATAATACAGTCTTATCAGTATTTCAAATAATTCAAATAATTGTGAACTCCTTTGAGGCAGATAATTCACTTCAATGTGGGTTATAATTTGGTTAGTGGAGTTATGAAGTAAGCAGTTTTCAAAATCTTGCAATTATCTTATGAGTAACCTTGGGTTTTACTTTAGAGTCATTTCTTGGAATAAGCTGGAGCATTTGAATGTCTTCCCTAGTTAGTGTAGCAATTCCATCAAAGCTGAGCAGTAAGCTGCTCTGCTTCTTTATGCTTCTATCATAATATTTGCAATATAGAAGAACAATTCCTTGTAGGAAGCAGATAAAGTCCTTAGAGAATGTGTCTTGTTGATACAAACACAGCCATGTCAAGGACCATATTCCTCAGATGCATGGGAGCTTTCCCCCATCAGACCCAGAAGAACGGCAGAATCCTCGGGTCTGGTCTAATTATGCATGTTAGGAAAGATTTGCTTGTAGATAAAACCAATTTAGGCAGAAACTATCAGCCACTCCTCCAGTGTGGACTGCAACCTGAAACTTAGAATTTCTCATGGCCTGACAAGAGGCTTTCTGTTATCATGCCTACCTTGGCATTTTCGTCAATAACACTAGAGGTGAGCAGATGAAGTCCCGAGGCTATGCATGTCATTGACATGAGCACAGTCATGTCAAGGGTCCAGTGATTCAGCCACATGGAATGTCAAGGCTTGGCTCAGGTACTCTATTGACAAAGGGTTGGCCTTCTGCTAAGAACAGTGTGTGTAGACAGTAAGACTATAGCTTCCTCATCTTGGATGTGACTTTGTTTGCAGAAACATCAACGCTATCCTTCTCCAGAATGCCTGCCACCTGAGACTTCTCCCTACGGAAACCTACTACCCAGACTAGCTACCCACCTCCTCACTCAGCTGTATAGAGTAAACCTACTTGCTGTTCAGCTATATATAGTAAACTCATTTCTTTGTTCAGCTGAATACAATAAACCTACTTCCTGTTCAGCTGTATACAACAAACCCATCCACTCATTCAGTGCCATTTAAGAAACATGCTGAGTTTCTGGGCCACTGGTGCATCTCCAGTAGAGCACACAGCCTACCAACTCCCACTTTATCTGCACGTGTGTCTGTGTGCTTGTCCTTTCTTCATTCCCCATAGAAACCGTGGGGTCAAGTCCAAAGCTGTGCAGGTCAAATCAAGTCCAAAGCCATGCAATGCCAAATGTAGACATTATGATATTGTGAAACTCTTGTCAGTTTTTTAAAGGAGTATCAATTATAATGCCTTCGGTACAGATTTCATAGATAATAAAATTTAACATCAGAATTTAGTATATGTGATGCTTTAGTTATATTTTATGATGGCAAAAAACTTGATGAAAAAGTTATTAATGAAACACAATATAGGATTTTGGCAGGGCAAGGGGTAATGTTATTTACAAAACTGTGTCTTATAAGAAATTGTTTAGCTGATCAATTATCTTCCAATCAATGTCAGCTCAAGTACATTCAAGGTGATGGGTGGATCAACTTATGATAAGAAGTTAAAGAACAACAATAAAAATCTATTCAGTAACTTATAAATGTCTTTGATTTGGTATCATAAAGTTGACTTAAACAAATTTTCCTTTCCCTTTGACCTACATTACTACGTTAGAGAGATGTTACTGAAGATGGGAAAGTGTTTTCCCTTGAGCATACTAAAATCATGCAGAAGAATGATATCTGCATTTTGGGAACCATGTGGTAAAAATTATGTCTGTCAGAAAATATTGTTTTACTGTTCCAAGTAATAGCCATTCTTAAGTCTCTCTGGCTTCAAAACCCACTGCTATACCTGTTCCTGATCTCCTCGAACTTCTTTCAGCCTAGATCTCTCTTCCTAGCTGCACACACACACACACACACACACACACACACACACACGCACGCACGCACGCACGCACGCACGCACACACGCACGCACGCACGCATGCACACACGCACACACACACACTCACTCATACACTGATCTATCTGAATGCCCAGCTCTCCCCTTGAATGCCTCATGGTTTTCCTAAATGCTAATGGCCCTGGTTTTCAGTTCTTGATTTTAAACCATACTCTGTGCTCTTCATTTTGACAAGGGACTTCAAAATCCCTTATTGCTCACACCAGAACCCTTGCAGTCCTCTTGATATTTACTAGACTCCAAAGGTGGATCTGTTTTCCCTCCCAAACAGATCTTGAATCACTCACTTCTTATCTCCTTGGCTCAAACCATACATAATCCAAAATCCCATCCCTTCTAATCTGGACTCCTGAGATAACTCCTGGGAAGCAGCCTCTTGATTTTCCTTGTTCTATTTGCCACACCACACTAGCTACTGTGCTTCCAGACTTCCCTTCCCGCAGGAGAGTGACACTCTGTAAATACAGCAGAGATAAGTCCCTTCCCTCCTCTGCAGTTCCCTTTCTACATGCCTCTCTTAGGTTTCTGTTTCTACAACAAAGGCCTTTCTTACATTCCTCAGAAAGGCCACAACCCACCAGCTTGAGATCTTTCTACATGCTGTCACATCTACTCCAAGCCCTTCCTCATTTGCCTAGGGCCACCTCTCAGCTGGCTCATTCCATTTCATTCTTCAAGGCTCAGCGTTAATGCCAACTGTCCAGCAAAAGACCACCTGAGATCTGTAAGTCAGATGTATTCTATCAGTGTGTCTGACCTCTTAGCTTCTCTCTGTGCTCCAGAGTCCCTTCAGAGCACTGATGGAAAATGACAGAATGGCATATTTTTGTCAATTTTATGTTTTCTTCATTAGATGGTCAGATTTACAGAAGCATAGACTGTAGTTGTATTCTTTAATAAAAACAAAACAAACTTTTGAATTCCCAGTTTCTGCAGCCATGCTCTAAATGAAGCAGGCCCTCTAGAGTATGCTGGCATGAGTGAGGAAATTCAGGAATGAGGGGCTGGCATTCTCATGATATAGTCCTCCTCGATGGATTCAGCCAGGAGATGTGCTTGGACTTCTGGTGTTTGTGTAGCCTTCACCAATACACTGCCCTTTGTTTTATGCCCCTTAGCCTTCAGCCAAAAAGCATTTCTTTGCCTTCATTTTATGTTTGTATAAGACATTTTGCACAATTTCACTGTTTTCATTTTGCACCAAATCCAACCCGAATGAATATTCTTAAATAAAGTAAAAGGAAGATGTCAAAAAGGGCAGAAAAGAAAGGAGGCAGGTAGCAAGTGCATATGCGTGTCTTGTGATCGTGCTTATCAAAGTGATTTATGAGCTGCATTACATAATTGGAGCTGTTTAATAAACTTTCCATTTCTATTACACACTACAAAATATGATAAAATAATATGGAAATAAGCAGTATATTATCTGCCTCCTTAAAATATATCCTTTAAGAGTACAAAATATAATCATTTATGTTACTTAACTGTTTCTATTTTCTTTGCAAATGTAAGCCCATTTAGATAATAAATTTTCCCCTTTTAATGTTTCTACATCACACACTGTCAAGAAAACTAAAATTATTAAACAAGCTGTGATAGCTACAAAGTACTGCCCTGTGTCTGGAGATTGTAATTCGAAGTCCAGGAGCTCCTGGAAAGGCAGTTGAGTTTAAGGGGAAATGAATAACCTCTGGAAGCCAGAGCTCCTCTGGCTCATCTTAACGATGTTTCAATGAGGTGCTAACAGGGAGATGGTAAGGCGAGACATCAGCCCCATCCTTCCTCTCCATCCCTTTCCTAGTCATCTTTCTTTTCCCCAGAAACAGGGACTCAGAGGGTGGGGAAGCAGCCTGCTCTCCTCTTGACAACCATATGGAACTTTTGTTTTACACTTTCTGGACCACTGTAATATAAACCCATGCACCCATCTTTGTCATGAAAAACATTTACATAAAATAGTCTTAAAAACCTTTACTTTTATTTTAAGCCTTAGAAGTAAGCTTTCTGTAACCTAGACACCACACACACACACACACACACACACACACACACACACACACACACCACTCATACACACATACAACACACACTACACATTCACACAACACAGACAGCATACATACAGACACAACACACAAATATACGCACACTCTACATACATACACCACATACCACACATACACACACAGCACAATATACACATTACACATACATGCAACACATATACACACACAATACACACATACTCATGCAAGACACATACACACACAATATACATATTCACATACTACAAATACACACACCACACATACACACAACACACACACAACACACATACACACACAACACACATGCACACAGACATACATACATACACACACTACTCAATACAGTACACACATACACATATATGCACACACAGAGACACTACAAATGCATATACAGACACTAAGCACACTACACACACAGACATGCACACTCACTTACACAGACATACACACACACCACACACATGCACACCACACAGACTACACACACACATACAAACACACACACACACACACACACACACACACACACACACACAAAGTTCTGAAAGTTTGGATGTTTTTAGATAAGTTTGTACTAAGTATTCTGGGGGTTTCAGCTTATTAAATAGTATGAGGTATCTGAAGCAGAACGTGTATTCTTATCTTAGGTTTTTATTGCTGTGAAGAGACACCATGAGCACAGCAACCCTTATGAAGGAAACATTTAATAATGGTGGCTCACTTACAGTTCTGAAGTTCACTATGTCCTGGCAGGGAGCATGGTGGC